TAAACATAAACAGCATAAACATATTTAGTGAAAGGTTTGTCAAAGTTTTTTCATTTTAATAATCAAGAGGAGTTTTTCATTGTAGCTTGTGGCTGTTTAACAAATCCACCTGAAAGTTTATACAGTCAACTAAATAATGTCGTCTGGTCTCATTCTGCAGATACCTCATATTTTGCTCTTATGTAACAGTTTAAATAAATCGAAAACAGAGTTAGTCTGAGTTCCTCCTCCTGCCTCTGACAGAGTCTTTAAATAGAAATGCATGATCCCGATTTCTTTAGGATGCATCCACTCATAGATCACCAAGTTTAGCCCACAGTGTGGGAATCGGTACATCCTGTTGTGAGTCAACCCTCTTCACATTGTTGGTCGATGTTGCTGACTGGGGCAGGACAGCTAATAAATAACCTCCTGCTGTCCTAAAATGGTGGAGTGGTGATTGGGGAGGGATAGGAGCTGTGAGTGAGGGTTAATGAATACAGGCCACATTGATCTGCTTCCACCGGTCTGCTCTCTCACACCATCCACTCTTCTGTTCTCAGGCCAAATGCTGCTCCAGCATTTTGCAGACCCCTCATACTAAGGACAGGCTGAGTTGTGGGAGATCCACAGAGACACAAGGCAGTAGCTGAGGCAATGTAATGACAGTTTTAACTTGTTAATGACTTGAACGTGCCCAGGTCAGCAGTCACATACAGTCGCATAATTACCAATGTTGTCAGATTTTAAATCTCAGAATATGAGATTGTGTCAGAGAGAGATTACGAGACGTAATTCAGCAAAATGTGTTCAAATTTCCTCCACACTGTCACAGTGATGGCAAAGTTACCGTGAAAAAATAACTTGATTTCAGATTGATTAAAACAGTAACTTTGTTACTTTGCTGATTACTTGATTTCAAAAGTAACCAAGTTAGATTACAAGTTACTTTATTAGTTACATTCAGCAGCTCCAAACAACAGCCCTCGCCACCCCAACACAACATTATAAAACCAAGTCTTTTGGCTTTATTTCTACATTTGGAGAACGAAGCTGCTTCTTCTGACTCTTTTCAGCAAAATATCTAAAACCATTTCAGGTTAGATGGGGAACATCTGGAAACTTCTCATGTCCTGTCAAAGCTTCTTAACTGGATTTAGTTCTTCTGAAACAAATTTGCTTATATGTTGAAGGTTGTTGTGCTGTTGGAAGGTGGGCCGCCATCCCGGTCTCAAGTGTTCTTCTAGGATTTACCCTTATTTAGTTCTGTCCATCCTTCTATCAACTCTGAACAACGTCCCTGCCTTTACTGAAGAAAGGCATCCCCATATCATAATGCTGGCACTACCGTGTTTTACTGTTGGAATGACGTGCTTTGAGTAACCTATGTGGTTTGAAACAAACTTTAAACCATATCTTTCATGGTTTTCTGTCAATGATGGATTTCAAGTTTGATCTTTTATGAAGATCAAACTTGCAGATTGTACAATAAATAGTTTTCTGTAATTGCTCCAAATTACAGCAAAAAAAATGTGTGGCTCCAACTGCATTCTTTAATTAATGCTGTCCTTTTGAGACTTTTGATGGTAGGTTTAGAGTCATGCTGTACTCTCAGAATTTTGAGATGATGCACTGTGTCCCTTCTCTTTGATACATCCACATTTAGGATACATTGTTTTATTACCTCATTCTGATTTGAAGGTCTCTACAACTTTGTCCCTGATCTGCTACCAGGCTGTGTTCCTTAAAATTGATGTGGTTTGTTCACTAATGTTCTCCAAAATACCTATGAGGCCTTCACAGAACAGATGTATTCAGTTATTCACACTATACACTGGCCAGGTCAGTTTACTACTCAGGTGACATCTGTAGAAAGCTGGTTAGATTTTATTTCGAGTGAAAGTGTTAGTAACACTTTATAATCATAGAAAAAGACTGTATTCCACTTTGTCTTGGGCTACCACTTCAAAATTGCCCAAAAACATCATTGAAGTTTGAGGCTACAACTTGAGAAAATTTGGACAATTCAAGGAATAATTCTTTTGTAAAATCTAGTTGTGTGCAAAGTGGAAGTTGATCTACTGCTTTCAGCAGTACTGAGACTACGCAGTGTTAATTTGACAGTTGGTGGCAGCTAAAGGAGATGTAAGAAGCACCATCAGTCTTGGCCTACCATGCTCTTCACTTTTATGACATATGTGTTTACGCCTGTGATTGCTCTGTCAGCACAGATTGCCAGTCTCCAGCCTTCAACAGTTGTGAAAGGAGCTATGGCTACTGGCCATGTTTCAGGACAGTTTGCATAAAAAAAGAGCAGCGCCAGAGAGAAACATGCAAGTCTCAAGTGAAACTCATTAATTGACAGTGCCACAACTGCTGACTGGTGCTGCCATCGAGACATCTAATGTCAAAACATAAAACCCTCAGAGGAGTTAAAGATTTGCCCCAAACACACACACGCACACACACACACACGCAAGAAGATATTGCTGCAGACACAAATGTTTGTCTTTTAGGGTTATGTTGATTTAGCTTTTTAAAACTTGGAATGGTCCATTTCACCCTCTCCCAGTTTTGTAGGGTAGGATGTCAATGAGGTTTGCAACATGTGACCTTAAGCCTACAAATATTTACCAGCAATATTTAACCATCTGCCACAACTGCCAACATCTCAGTGATGTATTGACTCCAACTTTCCAGATAGTGTGCCATGTGTTTAACCTCTGTGAAATACTGTTTGTCCCTGAATGTTAAGTTTTACCCCTTCTAACTTATGAACAATGTTGCACTAAAAATGTGGACTAGTACAATATAAAAGACGGAAAACTAAAACACGGCTTCAGAGATACTTGACTTTGATAGAACATATCAGGGAATGGCACTCCAAATCTATGATAGTTAATTCTGCCTTCTACTGGAGGGAGGAGAGATTCTAAATAAAAACATATTGATCAAAATAAATTATTCCATATTTTGCAGTTATAATAATGTACATTTTCAAAAGTAAAAGTTTCCTTCTCAGTTGATCCCCTTTCTTTAAGCACCTCTACATTTAGCCCTTGATTTTCAAAGGATATATTTCCCCTTTTTTTTTTTTTTTTTATGTCGTACAAAATATAAAAATGAAACACTGATCATGAATGTGCATATTGTATTGTCTTTTCTTTTCAAAAACACATTTTTGGCAACAGTGGCCTTTGTTTGACAGTACTCCAATAGGAAAGGGAAAGAGAGAAGGGAGGAAAGACATGCGGAAAAGGAACCGAGAACAGGACTCAAGGTCGAGGCGGCCGCATGGAGGTCTGTAGCCTCTGTACACGGGGCGACAACTCAACTCGTCGTGTGGCCAGCTCGCCACACGACGAGCTGGCAACACTTTACAGGATGAAAGATTTAAAATAGATCACATAACAGAACACACACTAACTTATAAATACGGCTCTTGTTCTCATTTAAGTGTTCTTGTTATTTAGTATAGTTTGCTCTTTGAGACTGTTATGATGGTAGCGACAGAAGCCAAAGTCAAACTCCTTGTTTGAACTTGGCAAATAAAGCCGATTCTGATTCTGAAGTTTAAATAGCGGTGCCTTGTTTTATTTTCATGGTTTTGTGCATTAGGGTTTGCCATTTTCAAATATAGAACCTCTTAATTTTATGATGGCTTGTAATGAGCATTGACTGCACTCTTACCACAAAATAAGGTATCCATCTTATACCTTAGCAATATACATATGTAATTTATGTCACAAAAACAAAATTCTATTTTACAAAATGCACTTTATTAGATCTTGTTTAGACTTACGCGTCGCATTCCTTTGAGAAATGCCAAAATGTGTGGCTAGAAGTTAAATTAATGCAGCTTGGCCTCATCACCAGCATAACATTTATATGGAAACATAATTTAAATATCACAACGGGGGTTTGTGTAATGATACAGGTGTGCCTAAATTTACATATATTAAAAACATGTTAACATTTATATTAGAATATATTTATAAACTACCTCTTTTAACTGATAGTCAGTCTTGAAGAAACATGACTCTAACAGAGGTAATCAGTAGGGTTTGAGGAATAATTCAAAGCATCTAAGATTAACAGGGAAAGTGAAGTTGCTGCTCTTTTGAAATAAGCAGAACACAGCTTAGGTAATTTGAGCTTTTGGTTGGGATGCCAGGAAACTGTCTCAGGGGAAGTGTTTTGAAAATGTCAGAATGGGAGGAGGCTTCTGGGCAAATCTTTTGGCAGGCTTAGCAATGCTTTTCTGTCTCTCAGTAAAATTTGGCGAGTGTTTCTAAGGAGAGGAAGTTACGGGGAAATCATTTTAGACACCTCAGTCCCAGACAGCCAATTTAAAATGGACAATAGTCATCTTACTATATATCAATATTTGTCTGCACAAGATGATTTCTGATTTTTAAAGTGGGGTGGTGTGAAGAACAAGTGATAAAGTCTGCATCCCATTTTCTATTGAGGAGGGACAGCATGTTCTGACTTTATTTTTTATTTTTATTTTTTATTTTTTTAAAGCAGAACATTATGATCCAGAGTTGCACTAAATTAGACTGAAAGATCACTTTGTTTTATATCCTAAAAAACTTATTCTGAATCTAAAGTAAATGCTGCTCCATGGATTAATTCTAGAAACCTGCTATGGCTTGTGGAACTTTCAAAGACCCAGTGTTAGGCATGCTAATATAACATAGATACAGAAATAATAGGGAAATTACAGTTAGGCCATTCTGCATTCCCAGAAAGAAAACCAAACATGGAGAAGCAGCATTCAACCTTACAGCTGAAATCAGCTATACAAATACACTGGATGATGAATGAGTCCATTAGAAACTTAATAAAACCTTTTCTGTCAGGCATAAGTCAGACAAAACACACAAAAGGGCTTAACTGTAATTCATCTCATTCATAATCCTGAAAATTATACTTTAAACAGTGTTTTTCCTTATTTTATTCCAGCTATATAATTTGCACACAAAAAAGAAGAAAAAAAGTGATATCCAACCATAAAACAGTGTCATAAAATTCATTTTAATGTACAGCTCCATAAAAATAAATTCTCAGATGACAATAAATCCTTGCCCTGACCCACTTTTTATAGTTCTTTAAAACAAATCATTCTCAGAAGCTGAGAGTGTTTTTTCTCTCTCTATTGGGCTGTTGATGTTAAAGTTTTCTGACCCTGGTGGAGAATCAGGTGGGTCAACAGAATTAGACCTAGACCATAATTAGCATAAATTATGTTAGAAAATGTATGTTTTATAAATGGCAAGACACACACAAATTGGGTCAAGATTTCAAGTTTCTACAGTGTCCAGAAAAGAGAGGCAATGGTTAGAAGGGGGAGCACAAGTTGGTTGAATCATGCAAGATGTTGAGAGGAGATCTTACAGTTCCAGGATGAAAAACAGATGCCAAGGAGGCTTGGAGATCCAGGCGGTGGGTGAAAGATGTTGGTGTCTGGAAATGGAGCTTGTCAGAAGGGAATCCTTTATTTTCCATTGGAACCTGAGTGAGAAGTCCAGCAGGGTCTGAGCAGAGGACGTCTGAGAATGGGGCAGGCAGACAGAGGTGAAAAGTGATGAAGCAACCAAAGCATCCATGAACTAAGAAACCAAAGGAGGAGGATTGCGTTGGAAGGGTGAGTCTTTTGACAAAAACGAGGTCACCTGTGACAGCTTCAACCTGGAAGGTACCGGAATAGCCGGGAGAAACAAGTAAAGTAAACTTCAGAATCTACATTACGTTCACTTGAGTACACAAAAGGATAGTAATGACAGAGGTTTAACAATACCCAGAAAGGCTTACCATCAGAGAAAGAGAGGTCCTTCAACTACTCATTATATCACCAGCATCCAGATGACCTGATAGTAACCTGGTGTGTGGTAAACAGGAGAGTCGTGCCCTCCAGCAGAGACCCTCTTTTCATGGTTTTGTGTTCAAACAGGAACACAAAAGCCCAAATATTCACCCCAATCCTGAAAATTGGAGCACATAAACAGTAAAAAATGGAAAACGATGGCTGGCATAAAGACAGCAAAAGAAATAATTACATATTCAATATGCTAAGTGACCTTTGCATGCTCTTGCATCTGTAATATTATTACCGCAGCAGCTACAACCATGGCCATCAATTATTTTACCAACCCTGTCTACCCACCTTAGCTAATCGTTTTATTTCCCTCCTGCTCTACTGGTCTCTCTCAACAGACTCCAACTCATTTTCCATCTCTTTCTGGTTTTTTTTGTTTTCAATATTTAACCTATAACTAAAACTGACAAAAGTGGGACAATCACTCCAGTTAACTTGTTCCTCTCAAATTTTACCTCTATTCAAGTATTTCACCTCAAAGTTTGTCGATAACACTCATCCTTGCCTTTTCTTTTCCACTGACCCTCTCAACTTCATCCTTTGTTGCACAAAACAAACAGAATTAAGTTCCATTTATTCCCTTTGTTGTTTGAACTATGCTTTAGCTCCAAACAACAAAAGTTCAAAGATAGACAGACTTGCTTATTTATGATGGAGCATCTCCAACCTCTCCTCTTCAATATTCCTGGAAAAAAATATTATCAGTATCATGCTGTTCCATGTTGGCAGATGCAAATAATATTAATATACATTCAATATAAAAAGTCGAAACACTCCAGTTAGAATCCTGGGTTTTTGAGATGGGGGGGGGGGGGGGAAAAAAAAAAAATTTTAAAAATTTTTTAAATCCAAACTGACAAATAGAATTGAACTCAAAATTTACCAGGGGCCAGAAAATTTTGAACAAATAAGTTTGAAACAATCATCTCTCAATGTAAAAGACGTATCAATTTTTTGGGGGAAAAAGTTGTTTTATTTACATTTCAGATGTTTTCTTGTAGCAAGAAGGCCCTGGGCCCCTGACATGGGCAATGAATTTGCATGTTCTCCCTGTACGTGCCTGGGTTTTCTCTAGGCATGTACAGGGAGAACTTCAGGCACTTAAAATTCCTCTCACAGTAAAAAGCATGTTTGTTAGGTTTCCTGTTCACTCTGAAATGTCCTCAGGCACGATGCATTCAAAACGTATTCGCAGCGCTTAATTTTTATTTTTTATTTTTTTTTGCACAATTTGATATGGTACACCGTTCTTTCAAATAGTTCTAAATTAATTTCTTTCCTCAAAATTCTACAGACAAATATGTTAAAAAAGCTTGGAGTGTTTTGCAAATTTATTAAAAATTGAAAACCGAGAAATCACATTTATGCAAGTATACAGCCTTTACTTAATACGTTGTTGGTCTACCTTTGGCTGCACCTCATCATTAACTGAGTTAAGAATAGGAGGCGTTTTCTACTACACTTAAATTATGCCTAACACAACAATATCAACACTATAGTCCAACTACTCATCTTTAATCATCATTTCCTTTCATTTTTTTCCCCCTCAGTGCCATTTTACTGTGGCAGAAATTCAGTTTGTCTTCTCTCATTCCTTCTCCCTTATACTCTTTCTCTTTTACTATTTTTCTCTTTTCTCTTTTTGCCAATCCACCAAGGACGTTGATGTGTCGTCTTCTGCCCCATTCCCCCCCCTCCCCTC